CAGACTACTTACTGATCAGCACCATAGCTAGCGGTCAGCTGGTTTGAACTTCGGTCCAGTAGAATCTCACAAACTCTTTCGACTGATAGTTGTTTCCACAATGACTCTACTGTTTTCTTGTGAATTAATTTACACTAACTTCGAGATGCCCCGGATCGGCACTCGAGCCGTGGGACCATGAGTCTTACTTGTAGTTTTCGAGACTTAGCCGACCAGGTCAAGCACCNTGAGGCATCGCGCGAACGTGAGGCACATCTCACACAGGGAGCTATGAATGTGGATAACGTCAAGGATATACGTGCACGACATGGTCCAGCTGGACCGGACTCGGCAACGCGAGCTGCACGATGTGAGTGTCGCACACAGAAACCTCGTTGTTCCACCTCTTTGACCAGTATCACCATGGACGTGGATAATCCGAATGAGCACAGTGTGACACCCGATCGTCGTTACGGTGATATGGATGCCAGTCCGCATCGAAAACCATGCCAAGTGCATCATAAAGCCTCAGAGGCTGGTTGTGTAAAACAGTCCGTGAATTTGAAGCCAGACGGAGGACAGCAACAAATCGTTCGAGCGGACTCGCTACGCACGGATTCCAGGAATGTCCATGGTCAACGTTTTGATTCCCGGGTGATCAGTTCGACCACAGCTATGCCCATCGTTTCATCTGCGTGTGGTGTGAATGACGAGGTGCGAGGAGTAATGGAACGCACATGCAAGTGAGTGAAATAAGCGATGAAATAATCGACAGATTATGGTTACTTCTGATCACCTGTCTCCCAACATTCTCAACACGGCAAAATGTAGGTTTTATGTCCCGAAAGAGATTTGCACCAATGATATACACTTTATCACAATGGGTTTATAAGTATTAATTTCTGCAAAATGAAATAGGACCATGCGACATGGTTCATCGATCGTGTGAGTCTCATGTTTCTTTGAGGAAAATTGCTCTGTTGGATTCTGGTTTAGTTCGTCCAGTCAAAGGGGAAAACATCGCTTACACGTACGACGCTGACGTCTTCCAAAGTCCATTTTGATCACTGCATATGAGTTTCATACAAGCACAAATTACTAGAAGCTTACGGTGAAAACAGCAGGTATTTGGAACGTTTTATATTGCAGTCTGTATATAATCTATCCGAAAAATATGTCTGGCTAATATTGGAGCTATGAACTGATGAAAATACGAATTTCGACCATTGGACATTTCTCTCCTCAATGAAACTGCTCAACTATTGAACAGTGGCCCCATTTGTAACTCTACTCCTACAGGAGCTCGGTGGCGCGCGGTGCGCATGCGAAAAGTCGACAAGATTGATGCATTGTACAGATATCGAGAACAAATGAACTTTTGTATGGTATTCCAGAAAACTATTGTACATCGTTCCACTAACTTCAGCAAGAACGAAAGTTGCAGTTGATAGACTTGTGCTACAAACTTCCACTTTTGTCGGATGGATCATTATTTTGCATAAACATAATTGGAAAATTAGATCCTTGGATTTCATGCTAGCTGAGTGACAACATACCATAAATTGGTTTTCATTGATCTGTAGTCTAACGCACGCATCATTGGAAAGAACCGAAAATACAAATGGAGGTTACTCTGCACAGTGTTACATCTCCGCCGATCTGGTGAGAGAACGTCGATAACAAACGTTCCATCATCTTTGGGCCGCGGTGACGGGGGCGGAGGGTTATTTATGTGTTTGTTCAACCGGATCGCGAATGCCTATTTGCCGTGTACTGTTTTATTGATTATTCCAAACCAAAAGCGTGTGGGATTGCTTACATTTTAGTCGCCTATGGGTAAAATGTGACTGTATTGCAAATCTTTTCAGTTGCGTACATTGTTTGCCAACTTCCGAAGGAGGATTTTCGTTTAAAAATCGATCTCAGAAGCATGCTGAGCACATTTATATCTTGTCGTGTTATCCGTCTGAATATAGAAAATACATGTTGACAAATGGAAGTTTAAAAATGATATACTCACATATATGCGTTCTCTTGGCCATGTGATTCTACACCTGTTTGTGGATTTGGCGTTCAGGAAGACGGAACGACTCGCACTGCAAATGCACGCATGGCTTTATTTTACTTTCATCAAAGCCGGATTTAGGTGCAATACATTCCCTCTAATACTTGTTGGTAACATGCGAATTCCTAGATTACCTGGCAGTATGAGTAACAAAAAAATTAGGTAAATGTCTCTTGAACATTCACTCGGTTCGTTGTTTAACTTGTTCCACTGATTTGGCATGATACTGGTTCTCAAAGGGAGAAAAGAGCGGGGGAGAGGGAACACTGTTGCCAGTCTCATTTAATCGCAATCAGGAAAACCTCGCTAGCTTCGTATTTTTATTCATAGTTAGCATGTTACCATCCACGCCAAACAATTAAAAGTTGTACATAGCAGCGTTAGCCTTATTTGCAGTCAATATTAATTGAACTCCTCGGGGATTCAAAACCAGGTAGGAAGAATATTTAATGCTGATTTGTTTCTTCCAAAACAAGAAAGCTGATCAATGGAAAAGATCTGTTCTTGGAGTAAACTGCATTACGGAAGATGCTGTGATGAGAAACACTTAGCTAGCCTTCGATTCGTACTTCCTTCGTCCGTCTGAACTCATCACAGATCCCGGCCACACTTCCTTGCCAAATATTTCCTCCAGTTAGGCTTGGTTGATTTATACTGATCCTCACGTTCATGGCTTATCCAATAACTGTGACTAACGAGATCAGTTAAACCCTTTATCATTTGAAAAAATATTTGAAACTATTACTTTTCAACTCTGAAACAATGCTATCTATTCTCTTAAGAAAAGATTTAACAACCAAATATCAGAGACTGGGAGAACACAGTGTAGTAGATTTCCAATAAGAATGATCACTGTGTGCCTGGTTGAATCGCTTTGCTGCCTGGTTGAAAAAAGCAAGTACTTCTATGGTTCAACCAGTTTCAACATTTCCTGTGATAAGGTCAAAGTCATATACCCGTATCTGATTGCTTAGTGCTATAAAAAGCTGCCATAATGGTCTAGAATCGCAAAAGGGCCAGTGCTAAGGTTTGTTTAGCTGAAAAGACTAAACACATGCGTTCACTTGGGCGTAAAAACGCATTCTCCGTGCGTCCTATCCTGCGATAATCAGGACATTTCCCAAGGTAACACAAGTGTTGAGGGATGCCATCTGGATTGGCTCTCATTTACCTCACACATCCTTCTGCTCTTTCAGCATTCTGCCAATGATTCCGTCTCATACAACTTATGCACAGAACGTGAAAAGAACCATGAAACTGCTGAATAAATTTAATGGGTTTATTCGTTCAATTGTAATCTGGGCTCTTTCCCAACGTGGGCATGCAAAACAAATCCGGGTCCAGTATCACCAGGAAGGTGTATCAACCTGAATATTCTACATCAATCAATCGATAACTTGGAGAATTTTCTCTTTCTGTGATGTATGCAACAAGCTACTGACTGGAGTTTAGACCTAAATGCGTCTCGCCATTTCAAACAAGTAAACCCAAAAGAAACTTGGCTCGGAAACCCACGTCCCAGTCAGTTCATCTGAGAATGAAGTGATCCTCGAATGGGATTTACAGTGAAACAATTGACACATTTGGACAGAACTTATCAGAAATGACAAGGATCTTCACAAGTCTACGTCATCACCATTCCTATTCATTGATCACCATTTTCAGTAAATAATAGTTGTTTTTCTGAGTTGAGCATACTCCCTTGAATCTCTTTGAGTCTGTGTTTTGTAATCCACTTTTGTATTTCATTGTCCCGTAATGGTGGGGACACCTGTGCAAGTCGAAAGGCGAAACTGAAATCCTAGAAACGTTTATTCAGTGGGGCAAGTAATGTCAACAAAATTCATTCTCACAAAGGTAAGGAAGTACATGAATCGCAGTCATCAACATTCCCTCTCTTCAGGACCACCGTTTATAATGCCATGAAGGTGAACAATACTTGTATTTAAAAAGTGACTAAAGCTAAAATTGGCACATGTCGTTTGCCGATTTCGTCGTGTACACGATCGAGAGTGCATTCCCTGAAAAAGTGAAAAAGTGGTTCACCGTCGAAATCAAACCTGTTTTTGATTCTATCGATTGTCATTGCCGATCACAGAAATATGACCGTTCATGTCAACTGACATCGGCCTGTCACATGTGAGAGATCGATGACCAAAAGTGGAAAATGTTTCAGGCTGGTCAATGATATCTCATACCGTTATTTGAAAAGTCGCATGAATGAAAAAACTTTCCTTTTTGGATGAGTCCTTCAAGAGACAAACGCACGGTCGATGGTATTGTTTTTATTGACAGT